TATATCTATTTGCCCCTCACACACATAGTGCGGACTCACCAGGAATGAAATCATGTCTAGCAGTAAATGAAACAGAGTTATTCTATATGAATTATTATAATAGAAGTTAATATTTACTTGAATATTTACCATGCGTGAGGCTCTAAGCTAAACATTTTTACAATTACCATATTTGATTCTGCAAAATTCCTACAATTACTACTATCATAATCTGCATCTTGCAGATGAGGCAACTAAAATTTAGAGAGGATAAGTAATGTCCATTTCATATCTGAGAAATAATATTCTTGGTCTTAAATTAAGTCTTGATAACTTTAAAGCAATTCTTTTAATCTAATGTATATAGACAGAATGATACATAAATTTTGATTATTGGACTGAAACAGTGGCAGAGTGACCCAAGAGAACAAGACTTCTAGAATCACAGGATGTGCTGTTTACTACTTTTTATTCAACAAGCAACTCATATTAGTCTTCGGTTGAGTAATATTTTGAATGTTTTAATCTCTATAAAGCTCTTGTAGGGCATAAATCATGAGTCCTTCGCTTTATTCCCCATAGGGGCTACCACAGCTAGGAGGACAGAATGCTTTGGCTGTTCCATTGATAATTTTTTAAATTTACAATATTTGATATACAAGTATTCACAGATTATACACTTTTAAGTTTAGTTATGTGAAAATCCAAATGAAGTATATGAACACATTGATTATACAAATAGCAATTTTCAAAATAACTTTTTTTAAGATTATGGTACAGGACAGATAGTAAAATATTTTTTCCTCCCATTTTTGTTCCTAAACAACCTTTATTTACAATTCAAATATTTCCTACCTCTTACTTGCTCTTCCCTACACTGCCTATAAACAGCAAAATAGAAAAATAAATAAATCACTTAGAGGAAAACAAGAGACAAAGGGGAAATGATGTTTACCATTTACCATTAAGAAAAAATTATAAAAATAAAACCTTCCCCAAAAAAGTGGTTTGAGAAGCCATTTCCTTTCCAATCTCAAAAATTATTCATAAATAATGTTCATTATCATCATGTGATTATCTAATAGTAAATACATTTAGGTGACTCTAATTTCCATTGATAAGGAATGATCTATATTCACATTTCTGTAACTTAGTTCATCTTCTCATCAATTCTAATAATTGAAGAGATATTTCCTCATTAAGTGATGCATATGACCAGCTTCATGAACTTTACTCTTCTTATAATTATTATGTTTCTCTCCACAAAAATAAAAAGTAGAATATATTCCATTGTCTGTAAGAGTAAAGTTGTAAAAAAATTTAAGGAAATAACTTTGGTAGTAATACATAAGCCTCTTGCTTCCAAATGGCAAGGGAGCTATGGGAGAATTGGAGAGGTGTTGTCATTTGAACAGTAAACACTGTAATTGTTTTTCCTGTGGGAATGGAAAGTATAATATATATGATGTGCATTTGCTAGCAATTTTCCCTTGGAAATTTAAACTTATCTTATTTGGATAAATATATTGTCCAGAATTTTAGCAGTGACATTACTTGGATTACTCTGTTCATAAAAACTATTAGCTAACAGATAACCTCAAAAACTGAGAAACATGACTTTACATAAAGTGTTAGTTATGAGGAAATGTATCACTTTTCAACAATTTTTTAAAAACTGCATAGATATTTCCCCATAAAATAAATGTTTAAGTAACTAAAGTAATTTTGATATATTTCTAATTATTCATCCCTAATGATTAAATTGTCCTCTTTGGGGAGAGGTGGAATCCATCTTTTTAAATTCATTATAAAAACTATGTGCTTTATAATTTACATAAACCTAAAATTTTAAAATTATACAAGCCCCTATTACTTAGGACCAGTAATATAAGATTTTTTTTAACTTTTATATTAAGTTCAGGAGGTACGTGTGTAGGTTTGTTATATAGGTAAACCCATGTCATTGAGGTTTGTTGTACAGATTATTTTGTCACCTCTGTAGTAAGCCTAGTACCAATTAGTTATCTTTCTTGATCCTCTCCCTCTTTCCACCTTCCACCTTCCACCCTCTGATAGATCCCAGTGTCTGTTGTTCCCCTTTATATGTCTACGTGTCCTGAACATTTTGCTTCCACTTAATAGTGAGAACAGGCTGTGTTTGGTTTTGCATTAGTTTGCTAAGGATAATAACCCCAGTGCCATCCATGTCCCTGCAAAGGACATGATTTCATTTTTTATGGCTGCATAATATTCCATGGTGTATATATATCACATTTTCTTTATCCACTACACCATTGATGGGCATTTAGGTTGATTCCATGTCTTTGCTATTGTAAATAGTGCTGAGATGAACATACACATTGCATGTGTCTTTATAATAGAATGATTTATATTCCTTTGGGTATATACTCAGTAATGAGATTACTGGGTAGTTTTATTTTTAGGTCTTCAAGGAATTGCCAAACTATTTTCTACAATAATTGAAATAATTTACACTCCTATCAACAGTTTTTAAGTGTTCCTTTTTCTCTGCAACCTCACTAGCACCTGTTATTTTTGACTTTTTAATAGTAGCCATTTTTACTGGTGTGAGATGGTTTCTCATTGTGGTTTTGATTTGTATTTCTCTAAAGATCAGTGTTGGTCAGCTTTTTAAAATATGCTTATTGTATGACTTCTTTTGAAAACTATCTGTTAATGTCCTCTGCCCACCTTTTAATGGGGTTGTTTGGTTTTCTTGTGAATTTATTTAAGTTTCTTGTAGATGTTGGATATTAGATCTTTGTCAGATGCATAGTTTGCAAAAATTTTCTCCCATTCTGTAGGCTTTCTGTTTAATAGTTTCTTTTGCTATGCAGAAGCTCTTTAGTTTAATTAGATCTATTTGTCAATTTTTGTTTTAGTTGCAATTCCTTTTGGTGTTTTTATCATGAAATATTTGCCTGTTCCTGTGCCAAGAATGGTTTTGTCTAGGTAGTCTTTCAGAGATTACATAATTATGATTTACATTTAAGTCTTTAATCAATCTTGAGTTGATTTTTGTATATGGTGTAAGGAAAGGGGTTAAGTATATGGTGTAAGGAAAGGGGTCAATCTTCTGCATATAGCTAGCCAGTTATCTCAGCACCATTTATAGAGTAGAGAGTCCTTTCCCCATTGCTTGTTTTTGTCAGCTTTGTCAAAGGTCAGATGGTTGTAGTTGTGGGGTCTTATTTCTGGGCTTTCTATTCTTTTCCATTTGTCTGTGTGTCTGTTTTTGTACCAGTACCAGGCTGTTTTGGTTACTTTAACCATGTGGTATAGTTTGAAGTTAGGTAGCATGATGTGTCCAACTTTGTTCTTTTTGCTTAGGATTACATTGGTTATTTGAGCTTTTTTTGTTTGTTTCATATGAATTTTAAAATAGGTTTTTTCTTGCTCTGCAAAGAATGTCTTTGATAATTTATTAAAAATAACATTGAATCTATGCATTGCTTTGGATTAGTATGGCCATTTTAATTATGTTGATTCTTCCTATCCATGAGCACAGAATATTTTCCACTTGCTTGTTTCTTTGATTTCTTTGGGCAGTGTTTTGCGGCTCTCCTTGAAGGGATCTTTCACCTCCATGGTTATTTAGCTGTATTCCTAGGTATTTTATTTTCTTTGTGGCAATTCTGAATGGGATTGTGTTCCTGATTTTGCTCTTGGCTTGTCTATTGTTGGTGTGTAGGAATGCTAGGGATTTTTGTGCATTTATTTTGTATCCTGAGACTTTGCTGAAGTTGTTTATCAGTTTAAGGAGCTTTTGGGCCAAGACTATGGTGGTTTCTAGATATCAGATCATGTTGTCTGCAAACAGGGTTAGTTTGTCTTCCACTCTTCCTATTTGAATGTCCTTTATTTCTTTCATTTGCCTGATTACTCTGGTCAGGACTTCCAATATTATGTTGAATAGCAGTGGAGAGAGATGACATCCTTATATTGTGCTGGTTTTCAAAGGGGAATGCCTCCAACTTTTGCCCATTCAATATGATGTTGGCTGTGGGTTTGTCAAAGACGGCTCTTATTATTTTGAGGTATGTTCCTTCAATACCTAGTTTGTTGACAGTTTTGCTTTTATTTTGTGTTGTTTTTGGTTTTTGGACATAGAGTCTCACTCTGTTGCCCAGCCTAGAGTACAGTGGTGAGATCTTGGCTAATTGCAACCTCCGCTTCCTGGGTTCAAGTGATTCTTATGCCTTAGTCTCCTGAGTAGCCGAGACTACTGGTGCACGCCACCATGGACAGTTGTTGTTGTTATTTTTATTATTATTATTATTATCACTGTATTTTCAGTAGAGATGGGGTTTCACCATGTTGCTCAGGGTGGTCTCTAACTCCCGGACTTAAGTGGCCCATCCACTTCAGCCTTCCAAAGTGCTGGGATCACAGGTGTTAGCCCCTGCACCCGGCCAGTTTGTTGGGAGTTCTTAACTTGAAGGCATGTTGAATTTTACCGAAAGCCTTTTCTACATCTATTGAGATAATCATGTGGCTTTTGTCTTTAGTTCTATTTATTTATGTGATAAATTGCATTCATTGATTTGAGTATGTTCAATTAATCTTGCATCCCAGGGATAAAGCCTACTTGATTATAGTGAATAAGTTTTTTGATGTGCTGCTGGATTCAGTTTGCCAGCATTTTGTTGAGGATTTTTGCATCAATGTTCATCAAGGATATTGGCCTAAAGGTTTCTTTGTATGTGTGTGTCTCTGCCAGGTTTTCATATCATGATGATACTGGCCTCATAGAATGAGTTGGGGAGAAGGCCCTCCTCCTCAGTTTTTTGGAATAATATTAGTAGCAATGGTACAAGCTCTTTTGTGTACATCTGGTAGAATTTGGCTGTGAATCCATCTGGTCCTAGGCTTTTTTTTTTTTTTTTTTGGTTGGTAGGGTATTTATTACTGGTTCAATTTCAGAGCTATTATTGGTCTGTTTAGAGATTAAATTTCTTCTTAATTCAGTCTTGGGAGGGTGTATGTCTCCAGAAGTTTATAAAAATATGGAACACTTCATGAATTTGCATGTCATCCTTGTGCAGGGGGCATGCTAATCTTCTCTGCGTCTTTCTGATTTTATTATATGTGCTGCCAAAGTGAGCACGAGCAGATTTCAAAAGATAACGACATATTAATTATTAGTGTACATTTGTTGGCTCAAGAAACTGTTATTCCAATCTTAGAGGTGTCCTATTTAAAGTTCATATATAAAATATAATCTGAAGCATCTTAAAATCATCTGGCTACTTTAAAAATTAATTTAAAATATCTGTCCTAATTACCAGAGCAGTAGAAATAGGCATATATTAAGTGGTTAATATCTACTTGATGGATTATGTTATTTTGGGATAAAAATTGTGTTGTTTTAAATGAGCTAGGCCGCTGGTAGTAAACTGCATACCTATTTTGTTTTGCTAGTCTTTTTTCATTATGCACTTTAATTTTTGCTTAACAATAGTGAAGAAAGCAATAAATTACTTGTCAGCAAATGATGTTAACAAGTGGTACTGAGACACATGAAATTATGAAATAAATATAAAATGATGTATTATAAAAATATTTATGTTTTATTTCTACGCTGGTGAAAGTTTGTAGAATGATTAACATTTATTTCTTAGCATGTTTTGTTTACAACTTTTTGCTGCATTGTATTAGAAACATACAATGTCTTTTAATTTTACTGTTTGTTGTTAGTAAGAGGTTCTCAAATGTATATGCCTCAAAGCAATATAATTTTGATTTTTGTTCAAGTATATTTCCTTCACAGACTGACAGATACCTCTACTCATTGTAGTTGGTAACAAACCCAAGCAGATGGAGAATCCGCCATGTAAACTATATCCCTCTCTATGTCAGTCTCACAGAGGCAATTACATATTATTGGAAACAATATACAGAATTTATTTACCAGAATTACATGGAACCAGCACATACTTACAAAGGAGCCAGAAAATGCAATTCTACCCTTATTCCTGGAAGATATACAGGTGAAATTATTTTGGGGGCATCAAAATGGCTACTACATTGTTCATTATATTTTTGTTGTGATAGCAATTTATATGTATTGTAAGTTAGCATAGTGTAGTGATTACAAGTATATATTCTAGAGCTTGAATACTGGATTTTAAATTGTGGCTCTGCCATTTAACTAGCTGTAAGTTCAACTAACTGTTTTTTAGTTTTCTCATCTGGGTATTTTGATATTTCTATAAAGCATTATTTTGACTATTAAATATGGTAATAGGATTAAAACACTTAGAACGTTGCCTTGCAAGGAGACTCCTATAATTTTAGGAAATTTATCATAAATCCTACAAATTTAAGATTCACAGTTGGATTAGATCTAATATTTAAATATACTTAGTGTGCAGAGTTAAGTAAATGGTCTTTCCCTTGAATGTTTGCGCATCTAGAGATTCAAATAAAGATCTGAGGGGAAAATGTTCAATTGTGATCTTGTAGGGGATCAGTCTTACATAGGCAAATGTAGCCTGACTAACCTTCTACTGCTGACAGGGATAAGGGAAAGTAGGAAAGAAAAGTTCAGACTCTGGCTCAGTAGCAAGGCTGCTTCCACAGCTTTTGGCAGGGGACTGAAATGAATGAGAGGTGAGGACTTCATTTTTTATTGCAAAGGTTGTAGGTAGTTTTCTGGTTCTGTCATGAAAGAAATACTTAAAGCAGTAACAGGATAAATTCTGCTTAGCAATAACGAGGAAGAGTCTGTTATTGCATTTACATGGTTGATAAAGAGAATATTCATAAAATTATCACAGGGTGTTGGTATTGGTCTACTTTGGGAAATGCTGTAAGCCTATAACATTTTCTTAAGTATGCTCTTGGTGAGGACATATTCGTCATCTTGTAGGAAATTTGATTTCTTATCAAAATTAATGGCTGAATCATAATCTGTATGATTAAATATGGTAGTACCATTACAAAAGTAAGCGCAACTATGAAATAATGGTACTAAAGTTCTATGGTTCATAGAACAATACAGTAGGCATTTCTTTAAACAAGTTTCTAAAAGTTTTATAGATAAGCAGAATAAATCCCTAACCTTATCTCTAAAAGGGAGCAATTTTTGAAGATACAGATACAATAAAATGACAGCATTTTTCTTAAAATATAACATGCCTATGTAATTCTATAGGTTCATATATCAATTGTATATTTATTAACTAAATTATGATTTACAGAAGAATACTAAAGGGACTGAATATCTTGATTTGGCATAATAAACCCACACGATTTTTTAAATTCACGATATGTATTGTGTAAACAGGTTTTACTGGGGAAAAATCACATAGTGTAAAGAGAAGGCACATGATTACTTGTTATTTTATGTCTATGACCAGGTCATCTGAAGAAGTTCTTACTGTTTATTTGTAACTAGCTTCTTTGGCAAGCTACAAGCCTTCTTAGCACTGACACTGATCTTTTATTCTTCACTGCCTCCAAACATTTAAATAGGATAGTATTGATAACAACAACAATAAAAACAGCCCAAGGAAGATTAAAAAAATCAAATCAAATGATTCATTGTGGTGCTTAATAAGGGCTCCTATGAGCACTCTATTTCAGGTGAATGGATCCCCTGCTCCTTCTTCTAGTTCCTGTAATAAACCCGTGTCTGTTCTATGTTGCTGGACATGTAGATGTTTAGAGTTTAGAGTCCCAGTAAGGGGAACTATTTCTTACTATTGATTTTTCTCATTCAGCTTCCTTATAATGCAGGTATTGGAAATGACTTATGCATATGTATCAAACAGAACAAGGTTTAGACACCAGGACATTGGGGTAAAATGTCAGCTATGCATGAAAATTTGAGGGGCTTGGATAAAGTCGAGGTTCAATATAATAATCTTACATGAAATTAAGATCAGGTGTGTAAGCAAAGAGTCTTCCACTGCCCACATACAACCCAGTCTTCTAAAAAGGTGATGTCAGGTGTAAACTCTCCCCTTGGATTTTTAGAGAAAGAAAAATTACCAATCTCCAGCCAACTGATTGCTATGTAACCTAACTTCCAGGGTTTCTTTAGAACCATCAGGCTTGTCTCTATTCATACATTTCAAAACCCTGTCTATATAATCCCAAAACATCAGATATAGCTGAAAGAATAGTCAATCAGCATGATCCTGGAAACCCCAAGCTATGGTTAGGCTTCCAGGTTCATCAAAATGGGTCTTTAAAAAAAAATCAATAGGAAAAATAACTGTTGTGTGGACCACAGTTTTCTTATGACTTATATAAAACTCTTTATACTACATGTATTATGGAATTTAGAGAACTTTTTAAAAATGTTTTAGAAACAATACACTGCATATGCATGTACTATGTAACATCACAGTGGGATCTGGGGCAATGCCCCATAATCAAATACAATGATATTTGTGTAGCAAAATATATGAATATTTAACTACTTCAACTACTAAGGACGTATCAGTTGAGATCAGGTTTGCCATGAATGTCAAAAAAATTTTGTTTTAAAGTTTTTTTAATTTTTAATTAAATTTAATGAATTATGGATTCGAATTGCAGTTTTATTCTACAAGCCAAAAATAAGGAACATTCAGATACATTAACCTTAACTATAAGTGCTCACAAAATTCCCAATTTCATATCGTAAGGATCACATGAATGACTATTTTAAATGATTGGGCTCTTTTTTTTTTTTTTTTTTTTTTTTAATATCAATACCGGCCAATTTGGTGACATTTAGAAGGTGCCAAGAGTAAAAGATCAAGGTCAATGCAAACATGTGCTCACAACAGTCAAATAAATTGGTCACAAAATGTACAGCAAGAACTTCTTGTTCAGTGGACTGAGTCAAAGATACTAAATACAGAAATATGGACCAAATGTTTAGTTCTAAATATTAATACTTAAACAATCCAAGCAGTTGTTTGCATTTGATTATTTTTGAACATTCAGAATGAATTTTTCATTTTCATCTGACTATCTAGTAGGATAAAAAAAAATGGGTAAATACGTGCATAGAGAAAAAAGTGAAGAATGCTTATTATAAACATGTATGTATATATGTATGCATGCATATATGTATTTTAAAATGGTATTAATATCACTTGAAATTAATGAAATAAAATTAGAGAATGATTAATTTCAAGATCATGTTTAAAATCTGAACATAAATGAGGAGGAAATAAAATTTAACTCCATAAAGCATGATCCTTCTCTTTTATTTATTTATTTATTTATTTATTTATGTACTCATTCATATATTAATTTAGCCAAGTAATATTTAATGAATGCTGGGGTTATAAAAATTAACATAATATAAAAACTGGATGGATCTGAATTGCTCACAATCTTCAAGTCCTGAGCTACCCTTGCCTCTTCTCTATTGGCAAAGTGTACTTTCAATTAGTGAAATCATGGATGTCTTTAAATTTTGAGAGTAGGTTCTCTGTGGCTGGAAAAATATTTTCGATTTTGACCCTAGTTGTAAAACTCAAGTAGTGTATCTGTGGCTTCACTTCCCTTTTCTCAGCAGTCTCCTTCCATTTACCTTGCATATAACATAGGAATTTGTCATTACTGTACTCACACAATAATACAGTATGTGGCATATCAGTCCGTTTTCACACTGCTACTGAGAACTACCTGATACTGGGTGACTTTTGAAGAAAAGAGGTTTAATTGACTCAGAGATCCACAGGCTTAACCTGAAGCATGACTGGGAGGCCTCAGGAAACTTACAATCATGGCAGAAGGTGAAGTAGAAACAAGGCATATCTTACATGGTGGCAGGAGAATGAGAGCAAAGAGAAGTGCCACACTTTTAAACTATTAGATCCCATGAGAACTCACTCACTATCAGGAGAACAGCATGGGGAAAACTGCCACCATGTTCCAATCACCTCCCGTCATGTCCCTCCCTTGACATGTGGTGATTATTACAATTCAAGGCGAAATTTGGGTGGGACTGAACCACATCATGTAGTGAAAGAAATATGTATGTTTAAAGAAGCTCTTGGAGAAACTTAATTAAGTCTTTACTTTTATTCTTATCTCCTTCTGTACCATTTGACTACCACATAGATTCTAAGGAAGAATCTGTCCTTTGATGGGCAAAGACAT